CTGGCAAAAGTAAAAACAGAAGAGCAGCAAATTATAAGCAGATTATGCAGTCCAAATCTTGTTATACATCCACCATATAGCATTGCATGCATGCCAAAACAATACTCAAATGCCAATACTAATTCAATTTCCTTAATGCTCTCAGGTAAGATACACACTACACTAGTACCATACTTATAGCTAAGAAAAACAAATGCACACAATCTGGCAGCAGCTTCGACCTTTCTTCTTTCACAAACCCGATTATAGTTAAACCTGGTGCTACCGTGGGCCGATTAATTTATATTCACCGAAGTCAGACTGCTCAACAAAACATATCGTCTGTGTATGTCTGTATACTATTTATATATAGAGAGACCAACAGTACACACCATTTCCGATTTGTATTAACAGTTCAGCAACAGGAAATCATCAATCTAGTGACTAAAAATCATCTCCATACCAATCAAGTCAATCGCAACGGTGAGATCCATAGCTCGGCCAATGAGTATAACTCCATCGTGGAGACACCTAGACAATTCTGGTGTTATATTTCTGTATGCTTACTTTATAACTTCACTTTTTCCTATCCCTAACCATTTTTGACTAAAAGGATCAGAATTTGTTTAGCCCACTGAGTACTAAAGATACATCAGTAACCGTAGCATTCAGGTATAACTCAAAGTGTCCAAGCATTTTCGTCTACCCCAGCATTTCTTATGCCAGATTTGTCCAACAAGAGAGAATCTGAGCCAAAATCAGATGCGTACTTTGATATAGTAACTCACCAAGCATTTCACTGCAGAAGCATCAAATGAGATTACCTCTTGTAATAAAAACTAAATATCATTGTGAAAAGCCGCATTTTCAAATTTCATAACACCTTTCAAACAAAATCCAGGCCAAGAACATAAATATTTATAACTGCATGATTTGAACTAATCTTCTCGCAACATCTTGTGAAGGGAATTTAACTGGTGACACGAAAAAATCTATCCAGTCATTTCCACAGAAAAAGCAAGCTCCAATATATTTTCAGATAGCGAGTACAATCTTCAAAGTATTTCCTCCACTGTTTCTTCAATGCTATTAAATTTTCCCGCGGGTCTAAATTTATGTTAAATACTATGTGACATAATTATTAATTTGATTAGTCAAATGCAAATATAAATTCTTAGCTTCCCCAACCCCATATTCCATCCAGCATGAAGGGGGGGAGAGGGGGACTAATTTAACCGAAAAATGAAATTGATAATATTAGTTAACCAACCAACATGATCTGTTAAGATTTGAATATTGTCACCAAGTCTAAGGACCCTTTTGGCATGACTTTTGCTTTTACTTCTTGTAGAAGAGCTTTTGAAGAAAGTTATTTTAATTTTTGTTTGAAAACTAATTTTGAAAAACATTTCTTATTTCGTAAGTGCTTTTAGAGGAAGTCATATTGAACAAGCTTCCTCTAAAACATTTCTAACTAGAATAAGCACTTTCATAAAATTAACCAAACGGGTTCAAAAGCTGCTCTTGGCTCCCAAAAACTCCTTTTGGCTTTTCAAAGGCCATGCCAAATAGGCCCTAATTGTAGTACCAGTGGCCCAGTTACTCGTTAGTTTATTTAGCGTTTAGCATTTGAACAAAAATCAGGTTCTGATTAAACAGAGATGAAAGTAATCATCGAACTCACCATATACAACAAAACTATGTACCAGAACTAGACTTTTGGATCCACACTTGTTTCTGCAATTCCATCATGTTAAAAGATAAACAAATCAGCATAAGTACAAGAGAAGAAACTGCTTGTTGTAAGTTGGAAATTAAAAGCATACCTCATTTGAACCATAGCCAGAAGAACCTCCACGTTTTAAAGGTTTGCCCTCTACAACTGAGGGGCCATCTGCATCCTTGATATTGTAT